AAAATGTGATATATTTATTCAGTGAAATAGTATCTGCCCATAAAGAACAAGATATTACAGATACATGCTGCAACCCTACTGAATGGAGAAAGAAATGGCAACCCACTCCAGTGTTCTTGCCTGGGAAATCCCATGGACAGAGTAGCCTGATGGGCTACAGTCCATGGGGTCATAAAAGAGTCGGACACGGCTTAGCAACTAAACAACTCTACTTGAACCCTGAAAATGTTAATGTTAAGTGAAAGAAGCCATCCACAAAAGGCCACGTGTATTGATGGTTTCATTTATATAAAACAACCAGTATAGTGAAATCCATATCCACGGAAAGTGGATTTGTAACTGTCGGACTGGAATGGGGTTGGGGATAGGGAATGACTACAGATGGGCTTGGGGTGGTGAAAAGATTCTGGACTTAGTGACAATTATTGTACAACTTTGAACATACTAAAGTCCACTAAATTGTATAATTAGGTGAATTTTGTAGTCCATCTCAAATTATATCTCAGTTAAAATTTTTTTTTTTTATTCCTGATCACACTGCTTGTGGGATCTTAGTTCCCTGATCAGGGATTGAACCTGGGCCCTTGGCAGTGAGAGCTTGGAGTCTTAACCACTGGACTGGCAGAGAATTCCCAACTGTAAAGTGATTTTTAAAATATCACTTTAAACTTAAAATATATTAGGTGATATAATCTAAATATTTTAATGATTAAAATTTGAATATATTTTATTATAATGTACAATTCAGAAATTGGATGTTCTCTTAAATTCTCAGGTACTTTCTGACATGTGTCTTGTAAATTATCTTTCTATGTAAGTGTTGTGGATTTTCTGAAGTGATCATTTTATATTAAGTTTGATTATTGTGTTTTGGCCCCAATATTGATTTTATTAGAATTCTATTAATAAGCTAGCTTTGGCTTGTGGAGGGATCTTGCCAATTTGTTAACAGGTAAGAGAATGCATTTTTACAAGATTTTATTTAATAGAAAGGAATGTTATTAAGATATATTATGCTAGGTTAATAATGATTTAACATATAGGGCAAACTAAAGTGAACTAATCCTTAGCATACCTAAACAGGTGAGTGACAAATACTGTAGATTTGTGTATCCATTAACCTCTTTGTTCTGTTAGGGCCCAACTGCCAGATGTTAAAATATTTAGAAATTGGGAGGAAAAGGTGTAAGTCATAATTTTTAAAATTAAAATTTTTGATGCTTAAGTAATAAAGGACATTAAATGAGTTTTTTCAAGTTATTGTACCTCAGAGGTTTGTGTCTGTGTCTGTGCGTGCACAGTTGCTCAATCATGTCCAACTCTTTGCCACCCCATGGACTGTAGCCTGCCAGGCTCCTCTGTCCATGGTATTTTTCAGGCAAGAATACTGGAGTGGGGTTGCCATTTCCTCCTCCAGGGCATCCTGACCCAAGGATCAAACCTGTGTCTCTCTGCGTTTCTTGTATTGGTGGGCAGATTCTTTAGCACTGTGCCACCTGGGAAGATAAACCTCTGAGGCTTAATCTTGGGTAAATCTGGGGCCTCCCAGAAAATTTAACTATAATATGTATTAGTCAGTTATTATTGTATGAGAAACTCCCCCACAACTCAGAGGTTTAAAACCGCGTAAGCAGTTGTTGTTGATTACACATCTGTAAGCTGCCGTGAGTTAGGTAATTCCCGTTAAAGTGTCTTGAGTTCGGCTTTGCTGTGGGTGTGGGTGGGCGTGGTGCCTCATGAAGGGGTTCGCTCAGGTTTACTGTTTGTGTTTCTTCTGGAGCCTAAGCTGAAGAGGCAGCATCTACCTGCTGAAACTCTTCTCCTGGTAATGGCAGAGTTAGCAAGAGGGCAACACCAATTGCACAAAGACATTTTAGATCTCTCTGTATCTTTTCTGCTAACATCCCATTGGCTAAGTCATCAGATGGCAAAGCTGTAGGGGCAAGGAAGTATGCTCTGTCCACTATGAGGCCAAAGTAAGACGTATGGTCAAGCTGAGCCTCTGATGGGAGGGAAAATAATATACTCCTTCCATGGAGGTGGGATTTGGGGTAGAAGGTAGTGATTATTTTCAGAGGAAAACCAAATTTATTATATGGTATAAGAAAATGAGATGTGACCATATTGAATTGCAAGATTTTTTTACATCAAGTGAAAAATTGTCACTAAGCCATTGTTAGTCTAGCTTAGTCCAAGTTGTTCTAATAGTTAACAGACAGTTAATAGATGATACTGTTTTTGTATTCTCATGTTTTTTAATGGATTGTTCTACTTTAGCTATATAGAATTCTTTTTTTTTAAGATTAACAGCCAAACACATGGAAGTTATTAGAAGCATCATTCATTAGAAGCATCATCTATCAACTTGAAGAAAAAAAATTATATGTAATTTTCATTTCAATAAGGTAAGTAGCTTATATTGTTATAATTTAGTGCCTTCAAAGATAATTGGTCAGTATGCCAAATACACTTAAATATATTCAAAGAAATGTAACTTTTTTGGACAAGATTATATGTTCACATAATAAAATGGAGTATATAGTGAAAAGTAAGCTGTTTTTCACCCCCACACTTCTTGCACTTGATCCCATAGTTCTCTTTCTTAGAAGTCTTCACTGTTACTAGTTTCTTGGACTTCCTTCCAACCTATTGTGTGCACAGGCAAGCAGACGTTTCTATACCTTTCCTTCTTCCCACTGTCTTCCTTTTTTCTTTTTATGACAAGGGGGAGTCTTCCCTGTTATGCACCTTGCTTTATTTGGGTTAACAGTGTTTTTCGGTTGTAGGTCCATATCAGTTACTTACAGTTCTATTTTTTGGGCAGACTTATTAAAGCATAATGTATGTATAATAAACAGCAGCCTTTTAAAGCATACAGTTTGGTGGATTTTGACAGATTTGTACATTCTTGGAACTACCATCACAATCAAGATAGAGATCATTTCCATTATCTCCAAAAGTCTGTCTCTCCCTCTACTCCTACCCCAGGCTGTGACTCATCTATTTTCTGTTATTGTAGATAAGTGCCTTTTCTAGAATTTCATAAAAGTAAAATACTTTATGTACTCTTTGTGTCTAGCCCTTTTCATTCAACATCATGATTGTGAAGTTCATTCATATGGTTCCAAGCACTTTGTTCCTTTTGATTGCTGAACCAGTAGTACTGAACCACCATATTTATCCCCATTCACCCGGGTAATAATTGGGATGGCTGTGTGGGGATCTTTCCCCTTTTGTGAGTCCCATTTTCTCCCCATCTCGTGGTACTGCCCATTTCTGCTTCTTGAGGGATTCTCTGGTTTAAGTAGAGTTGCTTCTCACTTGGCTTTCCTCAATTTCCAGTTTAGGATCAGTTTTCTTTGAGTTTGGAGGTTATTTGTCCTTCTTTGTAGCTTCTGTACTTTTAATTTTTATCATCTACACTTTTGTTCTTTATCCTTTAGATTTATGGTTTTGTCTTGCTTCATTTTAATCTATTGCTTTTTTTTTTTAAGTATTACATGAGAGTAGGCATAAATGTTGTATATTTAAATCTGTCTTTTTAACTGTGTGTCACTATTTTTCTATGAATATAATTATTTACGTGCACTATTTTTCCTCAGAGTAGGATTTTGCTTTACTAGCTTAACCACTATATGTCTGTGTTATGATTTTTTTTTTTTGTATTACAAAGTTTTTCTAAAGTGTAAAATTGAAATAGAAAAGCTAACTTCATTGGATGCATGTGCCGTAGTTTACTTCAGATTAGACATACTATACTTAAGCGTTATGTGTAAGTGGAGCTCTGAAAATTAATGTTAGGACAGGGTAAAGTTATGGAGTATAGATTAATATATCAATAGATGAGATGTAAATAATTACATCTTTGTACTTTATAAACATTTTTCAATATTTTACTTTTAGGTGCTGTATAATGTGTTAAAAGGAAATTATAAGGAATGATTTTGTCAAATTCTTATGAGTTATGGTGGCTGAAAGATCAAATGTTTCTTGTGGGAAAGGAAATGTAAGTAACCTCAAGGAGTAGATTGATTTTCAGCTATTCTCTGTTTATTTAAGACGGGTTTTTGATTTGTAAGACTATACTTAGGATACTTTTTTTCTGTTAACCTTAAGTATGCTGCCCCTTCAGCTTGGCCCCAGAAGAAACACAAACAGTAAAATGGAGCCAAACCCTTAATGAGGCACTGTGTTACCCATACCCACAGCAAAGCTGAACCCAGGTCACCTTAACATCAATCACCTAACCCACGGCAGCTTACAGATGTGTAATCAAGAACAATTGCTTATACAGTTTTAAAGTGTATTCTAAGTATACACTCTAAGTAATTGAAAGAGAGAAGTAACATTTTTTGTAAGTTGTGGTCATTTCTTTGTAGTGTTAGCATTGCCAAATTTCTTGGGTTGTACAAAATTTAATGTTTGTTTTTTTATTTTTCCAGAAATGGCAGCACAAAAGGAAATCTGTAATAGAGTATTTTATTAAACGGAAGTGGTTAAATAAGAACTTTAAATCAACAGACTCTGCAAACAAGGAAAGAAACGTGTTAGCTGTAAGACATGTTTCTAATGAATCAAAGTCCAATAACTGTAGACTTCAGAAGAAAAAAATTTTCAAAAACTTTGTCAAAACAGACAGGTCAGTGATAAATAACTTCTCCAGTCATAGGGCTAGGCCTGAAAACGAATTTAATTGAAACATTAACAAAACAGATCAAACTTGAATTAAAATTTTTGTCGTAAAAAGTTCTGAAAATATCAGCTTAGATTTAAATACTCCTCAAATATCTATTGCCTTGTCCAAAGTAAAGCAAATATCATTCAGCCTTCATGCCATAAGGATGACAGAAATCTTAGCAGACTAATACTTTTGTTGAAAATGTGTGTATCAGTTGATTTTTTTAGACCGGCTCAGTAATAATACTAGACATTCAGCATTTATTATTTACTAGGACACAAAAATTTTGAAAATACTCAGAAAAGGAGGACCTTACTCAGGAATGATGTCCATTCAGGAGAAATCAAAAGAAAATTCCTCCAGTGTTATTAAAAAGAATGAAGATAAGAATTTAGAAACACAAGTTCAAGGTTCTCAAAAGAATCTAGCAAAAAAATCAGATCCAAAGGAAGCTATAAAATCACTGGTTAAATCTTCCAATGAAAGTAAAGTAAATCAGCCTGAATTAGGAACATGCATGAGCACAAGGTCAGCATCCAGTGATCAAAAAGCTAGTAAACCTATTAATAAAACTATGGTGACCGTAAAGGGACATTCACAACAAGAATCTACAAAACAGAAGAAAATATCTCAGAAAAAATCAGTGCACGAAACCCCTAAATCAAATGAACAGCTGAACCGGAGATCACAAAGACTACAACAGTTAACAGAGGTTTCAACAAGATCTCTGCGTAGTAGAGAAATTCAGGGTCAGACTCAAGCAGTTAAACAGGGTTTGCCACCAACAAAAAAAGAGCACTGTAGCAATACTCAGAGTAAATCCAATAAAGCTAAAACAAATCAGAAACATGTGAAAAGAAAAGTATTGGAAATAAAGTCTGATTCTAAAGAGGAAGGAAATTCTGTAACTAATGAAGTGATCAATTCCCCCAAAGGAAAAAAGCGCAAAGTGGAGCATCAGATGGCTTACACTTCGAGTTCTCAGTGCTCGAAAGGGTCTGAAAAGCGTCTGCAGAAAACCAGGAAAGAAGAAACAAAGTCTTCTTCTGAGATAAAAAGATCCAAAGTGGCTACTTCAGTGGTCTCTAAAAAGAAGGAGATGAAGAAGTCAGTTCCCACACAAGTGAATACTAGTGCAAAATCCCAAAAATGTCCACAGCCATCAGTGCCTGAACCAACTGTAGACAATGGGCTGGAGCACGCAGGAACACGCAAACGGGGGAGCATTCTCCAGCTCTGTGAAGAGATTGCTGGTGAAATTGAGTCAGATACTGTAGAGGTAAAAAAGGAATCTTCACAAATGGAAAACGTAAAGGAGGAGAAGCCTACAGAAATAAAACCGGAAGAGACAGAGACTGAAAGACAAACACTTCATCAGAAGGAAGCGAATCAGGACGTTCAGTGTAATCGTTTTTTCCCCAGTAGAAAAACAAAGCCTGTGAGATGTATACTAAATGGAATAAACAACTCAACTAAAAAGAACTCCAACTGGACTAAAATTAAACTCTCAAAATTTAACTCTGTGCAGCAAAATAAATTAGACTCTCAATTTTCCCCTAAATTGGGCTTATTACGAACCAGTTTTTCACTACCTGCGTTAGAAACGCATCAGCAAGTGACTCAAAGTACATTTTTAGGGTCAAAACCATATGGTGATAAAAATAAAGCTTGCCAGCAGGAAGAAATGAAAGAAGTTAATTCTGAAGACGTTAAACCTAATGATATTGCAGTTGAAATGAATAAAATCCCCAAAAAGACTCCTGAAAATTGTCATTTGGGTAATCAGATAAAACCACCTTCTGACCAACCATTGGATAAGCAGAAGAAAGATTCTTTTGAATCAACACCGGATAAGGTAATCTATTTTCATTATGTACCTGGAGGTGTCTGAGTATTTTCTGATAAGAATTAAGTGTTTATAACATACTTTAGCTTAAGAATTAAGTTGTAAAAGTTGGAAGAGTCATTTGGTAAGGAATTAGCGAGAGTTTCATTAACCCAGTCTTGTAGTGAGTAATAGAACTTACTGACTCCTTTAGATGGCTCATATTTACATGAATGCTTGTCATTGTTTCCTTATTTTCACCCTTCATTTTTATTTTATGTGAAGCACCTGTCAGATTCTAGCTTTTCATTTTCATTTAACACACTGGTTTGTTTCCTTTTTCTCTTAATTATAACTGAAGAAACTGTTTCATAGTGAGTGACTAAAATGTGGAACTTGAAATTGGGCTCAGTTCTGATCAAGTTGTTAAAATAACTTCATCTGGCACAAGTCAGCTTTTCACCACCTGATAAAACTTGAATGTTTTTAGCAGAGATGCTTTGACTTGTGCAGCCATTTTGAACAGTTGGCAAATAAAATGCCTGAGGGATGTAAATAATTCAGTCCTCAGGCTAAGAATAAAATTGTAGTGGGCAAAAATTTTGTAAATGGAAAAGTCAATTGAAAAACAGAATCTAAATAGCTGGAAGAAACTTGATTACCTAAGAAGTAGTTTTGAAACTTTATAAAAGCAGCTGAACCATTTCTTTCCAAATTAAAATGTAGTTAAAATATCAATATATAAAATCAGTAGGCAGAACTTTAGCACTCTGTAATACTGATTTTTAAAACTCCACCAATTTTGTTTCAGTTATTTAATTTTATAATGAGAAAGCTGAGAGCAGTAGAAGAATGTGGGTTAGGCCATGTGTTTGGTGACACAAATAGATTTGAATTCAGGTGTCCCGATTTTCAGTCCTTAATTCTTTCTACAGTGACATACCCTGGGTATAAGAAGATCATTTGAGAAAAAAAATCATGAATAGAGGAAAAACAGTCACTTTGAAGTTTTACAAGTGATTTAAAGTTCTCTTTCGAGGCACTTAGGTCTAGAAGCAAATTTGAGTGAGTGAGGAGTCAAGGTTTGTGTCAGAAGCCCCCAAAGTAGATTGATGTTATTCTCGTTGATACATGGGTATTTTAATAGTTGTAAAAAAATATGCCACACTTTACTTATGGTTTCCTCTGTGAAAGTCCTTTTACGTTGTTTCCAACTTCTTCACTGATACCAACAATGTGGGTGAGATACCAACTATCCTAAGAGTGGTTAGATGTGCTGGTGAACATATCATTTCAAGACATATTGAGTGTCTGCTGCATTCGAGACACCGTGCTAATAAGGCTATATAAGATGGTCTGTGTCCTGCCTTTAATGAACTTACATTGTACTAGTCACTTAGAGATTTCTCTTCTTCCGATAAATACTGTTTAGTGAAGCCATAATAATAGCTTTTGTTTAATGAACACTGCTTCTTTATTAGGCAAAGGAGAACTTCATATAATTGTCACCACATTCTACAGCATGAGTTTTATTACTATCCACGTATTACAGGTGAGGAGAGTGAGGCTTAGAAATTCAAGTGAAGCTTAGAGATCTGTGTAACATGTAAGTGATGGAGCCAGGCTTTAAACTGAGATTGACTGGCTTCAGAATCTAGCTGAATTTATACTTGGGGAAGTAGAAGAGTGTAAAAAAGCAAACCTTACACCATTTGAAAACTTTTTCTGTGGCTGTCTGTAATTTTTCTTCTTTTTATTACGTGGTGTCAGTCTCAAAAGTGCTGAAAAATGATGATGGTTGGTAAGGCTAAGCATCTGTCTGATATAGGCCTTCTGAATTCTTCAGGCCAAATTTAAAGTATTTGGATTTTACGAATTTTAAAGCTCAATTATTTTATGATTTTTTTTAAACTAGTAATTCTAGCTTCCTAATGGAGATTGATTACTAACGTCATTATTTTTATTGTTTTTAATTTTTCTGCCTTTTAATGACAAAAATGTTCATATTTCAAAAATGTAATGTTCAAGAATAATGTTGTGTTCTTTGTAACAGTTACAATGCAGATAGATACAGACACACACACAAAAGTTATCTGTTCACCACCACATTTCCATTCCTCTGAGATAGCTAATGTTTGAGTTTGCACTATTTTCCTTTGTTAGTTATTGAGTATCTACTTTGACAGAGTTTTGATTGAGGAGTTCTTAGAAATACAAGGATAAATATAATAAGTCTTTGCTCTTAAGAGTATTAGGAGATTAAAAAATATATACTTGAAACTATATACTGAAGTATATATATACAAAAATATACTTACATATACACATATGCATATGTACTTAAGAATATATAGGAGATTAATAAAAAAAATAAGTAATTCAAAATAGAAAGTGGTAAGAGCATGAAAGATGGATGAGGTAATTGGGAAATTTGGGGAAAGGGAATGGGAAATTTGGGGAAAAAGAATGGAAAACTTGGAGATTTCATGGAAGGGGTTAATATTTAATGACTTGAATTTATACAGGGGTAGGGTGTTGTAGATTAGCACTGTTCAGTAGAGATACAGTGTGAGCCACATAAATTGTTCAAAAATTTCTGCTAGCCACGTTTAAAAAATTGGTAAAGTTAATATATTTTACTTGTCATGTAAAAATAATGATTCAATGTGTCATGAGTTTTAAAAATTGAGGTGTTTTACTTTTTTTTTTTTTTTTTGGTACTAATACCTCAAAATCTGGTAGGTGATTTACATCTGCAATAAATCGCAGGTCAGTCATATCACATTTTAAGTGCCCAACAGTGAGCTGTGGCAGTGGCTATTGTAATGGACAGTGAGACTTAGGTAGATGAAACCCAGAGAAAGCATAGAGCCGGCAGATAACGGAGTGTATCTGTGGGAGAGGTAAAGTTTTCAGTCTAGCATGAAGGGGAATAATGAGTTGATGCTGAGATGGAGGGTAGCTTGTAGGGAGATCTTAAAGAGACTTTTTTTAAGGCATATCTTGTGTGAATTACTCCATATATGCTCTTAAATTTTCTTAGTATAGTGCTAAAATTCACTGAAAATATTGTAGTAACACGCAAAGGTTGATACAAAAGTGAATATTAACATTTTGAATTATATGTGCTTAGAATTGCAGCCTATGTTTGGAATCTAAGCTTGAAAACAATCCAGTGGAAAATGCCACTACTGTCTCAACTCTGCTCAGTCAAGCAAAAATTGATACAGGAGAGAATAAATTTCCAGGTAATACTTTGAAAGTATTGTTTAGATTTCACAGTGGTCAGAGATTTTTTTTGTCACTGTAACAGAAGACTATATCCACTATCAAATAAACCTGTTAAATCCTTCTTTTAACCATTGCTTATGTTTTTCAAATGTTTGATGATAACTATTCTTTGAAGGGGGAGAATTGCGTCTATTGATTGGGTTGTGTACATTACTTAAGGTGATTGTTTGACTCCCTGCCAAAACTACTTTGCTTTTAAATCTTTTATTTTGTTTGTGAACTTACTTTCTGGACAAGTGTTATTTAATGAATTGCTTAAATTAGTGATTGCAGTTTATTTCTCAAGTATAAATGACTAGTTTACCAAGTTCTTATCTTTAACCCTTAATTACTCAGTTTTCCATCTTAGTAGTTGTATCTTTGAATTAAATCAGTTCTTACATTCTGTTCACTTTTACCGTAAAAAACTTTATTTTTGTAACCGAATGAATATTTTGAGGGTAGTTCCCTGGCAGTCTAGTGGTTAGGACTCAGCCCTTTTTCTGTAGCAGCACGAGTTCCATCCCTGGTTGAGGAATTAAGATCCCACAAGCTGAATGGCGTGGCCAAAAAAATTGGGCAATATGTTCTTTGAACTCTTGAATAGGGATTTGTTCACCTATATCAGATGAAGCACCAGGAGATACAGAAGAGAAATTCCTAAATATTGAGTTCATATAATTGATTCACTTAGGAGTGCTTAGTTGCTAAGGTGTGTTTGACTCTTGTGACCCCATGGACTGTAACCCACCAGGCTCCTTGTCCATGGAATTTCCATGACCCATCAGGGATGCCCTTAGTGGGGAAAGGGGAAGTATAATATGAATACCAGAAATGCATTTATTCGTTAGAAAATTGGTATTGCGTTATTTGATTAGTAATACGATTAAAGGACTTCCTGCTGGCTCAGAGGTAAAGAATCTGCCTGCAGTGCAGGAGACTTGGATTTGATCCCTGGAGAAGGAAATAGCAACCCACTCCAGTAGTCTTGCCTGGGAAATCCTGTGACAGAGGGGCCTGGTGGGCAACAATGCATGGAGACAAAAGAGTCAGACACTATTTAGAACTTGAACCACCAGCAATGTGATTAAAACTCCAGAGACTACAGGTTTTTTTAAGCTAATGTTTTCCTTTATTTCTGTTTAGAGACTGAATAATTAATTATGAAAGCATTATTATGAATAATTATGAAAGCATTTAAACAATTTCCTTTATTGTTCAGTGCTAGTAATTACTGCTGAAACTAGAGACACACTGTTAATCTACCATTAGATCTCTCTGCAGCTCTGTAGAGCTTTTTTGCCTCTTCTCTGAAGAGAAATTCCTAGAAAGGTGACTCTTAATTTTATCAAATGGTATTTATTAAAAATAAACCATTTAGTGCACTGAGGTTGTTTTTCTTTATGATAATTTTTAACTGTTAGGTGGAGGGCTAGTACAAAGCTTAGTACATAACCCATCTTTTTATTAAATCACAGGTTCAGTTCCCCAACAGCACAGTATATTCTGTAATCAGACATCTAAGACAAGTGATAACAGGTAAGGTATTAGTTTAATTCAAGTATAAATATGAGAACTTCAGGATTTTATACTTGTAAGTTTTGAGTTTGGGAAATTTTTTCCCTCAGGTTGCATTAGTAATCATCAGTTTTTCACACAGATGTGATAGAAATTCTGTTTTTAGTGTACTTTTCTTTTTCTGTGTCTATACATAGTGTTTTGCAGCTTTTAGTTTTTTCTCAGTGTGTTATAGAAGATAGAAAAGATGTTTTCTACGTTCCTTCCTCATTCTTTTAAATTCTGTATTAGATTTCATTGTGCACATTTTCCATTGTTTATTAGCAGTTCTCTATTGAAACCTTGGTTGTTTCTAGTTTATTTCTATCAGAAAAAAAGTCCTACGGTAAACACTTAATCTTTGTCCACTTACGTGGCTCTATCTAGGATAAATTCATAGCTATAGGATTTAACCTGCCTTGCCAAATTTTCCTTGCAAAGTGGTTGCGTCTTATACTCCCAGCAACAATATATGAGAATGCTCCTTTTGCCCAAAAAGCCTCATGATATATATTAGCAAAATGTAAAAGTATTTCAGCAGATTAAAAGCTTTTTGTTCTGTCTTTACTTTCAAAATAAATTAGTATGACTGTTTTGCTTTACTGATTACTGAAAACAATATTTAGGACAAACTGTAGTGACTCAAATTGCTGAAACTATGAAACTTAAAACTTATTCATACTATAGTAGGTACTACATTTTTTTGTTTTTATGTTGCAAATGAGTTGTTTCTTTGGGTTTCCTTTTGGTTTTTAAAAGGTTATTTCCCTGCCCCACACCCCTTGGAATTTTATTTGTCATAGTGTTGTATAGAAAAACCTAAGTATTTTTCTGCCAGTGATTTGAAATGATATGGATCTATAACATTTAATAGTTGTCTGGTTGGTTGGTTGTTTTTTAAAAGGGAGATACCACCAAATCATTCTTGGCCCAAGTGTAATTCTCATTTGGAGATAACAATTCCAAAAGACTTGAAACTAAAAGAAGCAGAGAAAGCTGATGAAAAACAGTTGATCATAGTAAGTATACAACTTGACCTTTTAGCTAAAATGTTGCTACACCATCTTATTTATACACATTGTCAAGGAATAAATTCATTTTTCCCCCCTACAGAGCCTTTTTGTCACTGTAATTCTTCATTATGGAAATATTCTTGGTAGTATGACAGCCACTCTCTCAGTGATTCCATGCTGTAACAATAAAAATTCAAATTTCCTTCTAGTTTTATTTACAACAGATTGATACTTTATTTCACGTATTTTCTTAAATGTGTCATTTGATCACTACCTTCTTTTAGTAGTTGGTTTAAATTTTAAAATAACATGGAGCTTAATAAATACAGATGATTTTAAATATGTGTATTTTAGTATATGTTGTAATTGTAAAACTACATTTTACAGGAAGATAAACCAGTAGTTAGTTTGAAATAGAAAATAAGTGCAATTTGGTGGCAAGGTAGAAAACAGAGGGAGATAGTTTGACTGATGAAAAATCGAATTTGAATGAGTGAGCACAATATAAAAAAAAAGAAGAAACCCAAAATAATAGGAACATTTAATGTAGTTCCAGTTGACACAAGTAATCAGATTTTTTTTGTACTGGATAATTGGTTCTAGCTTTAATCAGTTCAGTTCAGTTCAGCCGCTCAGCCATGTCAGACTCTTTGCGACCCCATGAATTACAGTACGCCAGGCCTCCCTGTCCATCACAAACTCCTGGAGTTTACTCAAAACTCATGTCCATCGAGTCGGTGATGCCATCCAGTCATCTCATCCTCTGTCGTCCCCTTCTCCTCCTGCCCCCAATCCCTCCCAGCATCAGGGTCTTTTCCAATGAGTCAGCTCTTTGCATGAGGTGGCCAAAGTATTGGAGTTTCAGCTTCAGCATCAGTCCTTCCAAATGTTAGGTAGTTAGAATAGGGAAAAGGAGTCCAAAATGGCGGTCGCTAAAAGACCTGGAAGGGAAAAGTCCGAGAAAATAGAGCAAAGGAAGGTCCGAGGACCGGAGTGAGAACCTCAGATAAAACAACACTCCTGGCTGGCCCAATTTACCTAAGACAGGCCCAGGACAGAGAAACATATAAAAAGAGGAGCCAAAGGCCTTTTCGAAGGCTCTCTCTCTCTCCCGAGCGATGGGGCGATCTTCTCTTCGCTTCTTTGGATCGATGTGCCCTCATGCCTCGAAGATGGATTTTCCTGCTATTATCTAAATGAATAGAGCTGTAACACTGAGCTGTAATACTGATTTATTTAAGAGGTATAACACGGTCTGTCCTCCAAGAGCTGTGACCCGCAGAGGGGGCTTCAGTGTTCATCACTCCAAGTTTTTGTTGTGACGAGACAAAGAACCGAGGACCATACACCTGCTTGACACAATGAACACCCAGGACTGATCTCCTTCAGGATGGACTGGTTGGATCTCATTGCAGTCCAAGGGACTCTCAAGTCTCTCCAACACCGCAGTTCAAAAGCACCAATTTGTCGGCACTCAGCTTTCTTCACAGTCCAACTCTCAAATCCATACATGACCACTGGAAAAACCATGGCCTTGACTAGACGGACCTTTGTTGGCAAAGTAATGTCTCTGCTTTTTAATGTGCTATCTGGGTTGGTCATAACTTTCCTTCCAGGGAGTAAGCGTCTTTTAATTTCATGGCTGCAGTCACCATCTGCAGTGATTTTGGAGCCCCAAAAAATAAACTCTGACACTGTTTCCACTGTTTCCCCATCTATTTCCCATGAAGTGATAGGACCAGATGCCATGATCTTAGTTTTCTGAATGAGTTTTAAGCCAACTTTTTCACTCTTGTCTTTCACTTTCGACAAGAGGGCTTTTTAGTTCTTCATTTTCTGCCGTAAGGGTGGTGTCATCTGCATATCTGAGGTTTTTGATATTTCTCCCAGCAATCTTGATTCCAGTTTGTGCTTCTTCCAGCCCAGCGTTTCTCATGATGTACTCTGCATATAAGTTAATAAGCAGGGTGACAATATACAGCTTTGACGTATTCCTTTTCCTCTTTGGAACCAGTCTGTTGTTCCATGTCCAGTTCTAACTGTTGCTTCCTGACCTGCATACAGGTTTCTCGAGAGGCAAGTCAGGTGGTCTGGTATTCCCATCTATTTCAGAATTTTCCACAGTTTATTGTGATACACACAGTGAAAGGCTTTGGCCTAGTCAATAAAGCAGAAATAGATGTTTTTCTGGAACTCTCTTGCTTTTTTGATGATCCAACGGATGTTGGCAGTTTGATCTCTGGCTCCTCTGCCTTTTCTGAAACCAGCTTGAACATCTGGAAGTTCATGTATTGCTGAAGTCTGGCTTGGAGTATTTTGAGCATTACTTGACTAGCCTGTGAAATGAGTGCAATTGTGCAGTAGTTTCAGCATTCTTTAGCATTGCCTTTCTTTGGGGTTGGAATGAAAACTGACCTTTTCCAGTCCTGTGGCCACTGCTGAGTTTTCCAAATGTGCTGACATATTGAGTGCAGCACTTTCATAGCATCATCTTTCAGGATTTGAAATAGCTCAACTGGAATTCCATCACCTCCACTAGCTTTGTAGTGATGCTTTCTAAGGCCCACTTGACTTCACATTCCAGGATGTCTGGCTGTCAGTGAGTGATCACACCATTGCGATTATCTGGGTCGTGAAGATCTTTTTTGTACAGTTCTTCTGTGTATTCTTGCCATCTCTTAATATTTTCTGCTTCTGTTAAATCCATGCCATTTCTGTCCTTTATTGAACCCATCTTTGCATGAAATGTTCACTTGGTATCTCTAATTTTCTTGAAGAGATCTCTAGTCTTTCCCGTTCTATTGTTTTCCTCTATTTCTTTGCATTGATCACTGAGGAAGGCTTTCTTATCTCTCCTTGCTATTCTTTTTCACTGTGCATTCAAATGGAAATATCTTTCCTTTTCTTCTTTGCTTTTCGCTTCTCTTCTTTTCACAGCTATTTGTAAGGCCTCCTCAGACAACCATTTTTGCCTTTTTGCATTTCTTTTCCCTGGGGATGGTCTTGATCCCTGTCTCCTGTACAATGTCACGTCCATAGTTCATCAGGCCCTCTGTCTATCAGATCTAGTCCCTTAAATCTATTTCTCACTTCTACTGTATAGTCATAAGGGATTTGATTTAGGTCATACCTGAATGGTCTAGTGGTCTTCCCTAGTTTCTTCAGTTTAAGGCTGATTTTGGCAATAAGGAGTTCATGATCTGAGCCACAGTCAGCTCCCAGTCTTGTTTTTGCTGACTGCAAAGAATATAATCAATCTGATTTCGGTGTTGACCATCTGGTGATGTCCATGTGTAGAGTCTTCTCTTGTGTTGTTGGAAGAGGGTGTTTGCTATGACCAGTGTGTTCTCTTGGCAGAACTCTATTAGCCTTTGCCTTGCTTCATTCTGTACTCCAAGGCCAAATTTGCCTGTTATTTTCTGGTGTTTCTTGACTTCCTACTTTTGCATCCCAGTCCCCTATAATGAAAAGGACATCGTTTTTGGGTGTTAGTTCTAAAAGGTCTTGTAGGTCTTCATAGAACCATTCAACTTCAGCTTCTTCAGCATTACTGGTTGGGGCATAGGCTTGGATTACTGTGATACTGAATGGTTTGCCTTGGAAACAAACAGATCATTCTGTGATTTTTGAGACTGCATCCAAGTACTGCATTTTGGACTCTCTTGTTGACCATGATGGCTCCTCCATTTCTTCTAAGTGATTCCTGCCCACAGTAGTAGATATAATGGTCATCTGAGTTAAAATTCACCCATTGCAGTCCATTTTAGTTTGCTGATTCCTAGAATGTTGACATTTACTCTTGCCATCTCCTGTTTGACCACTTCGAATTTGCCTTGATTCATGGACCTAACATTCCAGGTTCCTATGCAATATTGCTCTTTACAGCATCAGACCTTGCTTCTATCACAAGTCACATCCACAACTGGGTGTTGTTTTTGCTTTGGCTCCATCCATTCATTCTTTCTGGAGTTATTTCTCTGCTGATCTCCAGTAGCATAGCTTTAATATGGGGAGATCATTTTGTAAGAATTGTCTAGAAATCTTTTTGAGAAAGATTAGTGAGGGGAAAAAGTTGTTTCATCAAATTTAATACTGTTTCTGTAGTCAAATCAGTATGATAATGAAACAAGATTAGACAAGTAGAATCTCAAGCTGTACCATCTAGTGTTGTAGCCACATATGACTGTTGAGCACTTGAAATGTCACTCACCAGAATTGAGGTATGCTCCAAGTGTAAACACATATGCTGTGTTTCAAAGATGAGTACAAGAAAGCATGTAAAGTATCTCACTAAGTTTTACAAATATTTAATGTATGTTGAAATTACAACATTCAGTATATGTCTTGTTAAATAAAATATATTATTAATTTTATTGGTTTGCTTCTACAGTCTTTAATGTGGCTACTAGTAAATTTAAAATTAACCTTTGTGGATCACATTTCTGTTGGATAGTGCTGGTCAAGAGTTGATGGTAATGATGATGTTAATGATCACGATAGCAGCTAATATTTTTCAAGGCATTGTTCCATTTCCTCCACTTATAGTAACTAAGTTAAGCCTTAGAAAAAAGTATGAGATAGGTACGACTATTATTTTCCATTTACCAATGAGTAAAAGAAACCGAGGTAGATACTTAGTCATTACTAAGAAAACTGCCTGCTTGAAGAGGTTGTTTGTATATCTGTGTTTATTACTCACAATAGCCAAAAGGTGGAAGCTACTAAAGAGTCCAACAGTGGATGGCTGGCTGAACAAAATGTGGTGTGTATGTAGACGGTGGAATATTATTCAGCCTAAAAAAGAAAGGGAATTCTGACACATACTATAATATGATTGAACCTTGAGGACATTATCTAAGTGAAATGTCAGTCACAAAATGACGAATACTACATGATTCTACTTATGAAAGGTGCCTAAAAGAATCAAATACTTAGAGATAGAAAGCAGAATGATGGTTCCCAGGAGCTGGGGAAGAAGGAGGATTGGGGAACTGTTTAGTGTGTATAGAGTTCAAGGGGTTTTTGTTTTGTTTTGTTTTTTCATCACTCCTCACGGCATGCGGGATCTTAGTTCCCTGACCGGGGATCAAACCTGTGACCCTAGAGGTGGAGGTGTGGAGTCTTAACCAGTGGACCACCAGGGAAGTCCCTAGAGTTTCAGTTTTGCAAAATAAAAGTAATTCTGTGGATTGGTTGCACAACAGTGTGAGTGTACTTAATACTACTGAAATGTACACTTAAAAATGGTTAACATGGAAAAAAAAAAAAGGTTAACATGGTAAATACAATGTTTTGTATCTTAACCATAATTTAAGCAATTTTTTTTAACTCCCTGAATTTTCAGGTAATATTTTATCAATAGTTTCAGTCTTTTAGAATGAGCTTCCCTTTAGTTTTATATGAAATCTTTCATTTACCATTTGATTTCGTTTTGGTCTGTGGCCCTAGCTGTAAGGCACTAGGATATAGTTATCTTAGAGTCTGTTTTTTTTTTTTTTTCCAGTAATTAGTTGAAATTTCCCAGTTTCAGAGCAGCAAGAATAAAGGAATTGTGCTTTTAAAATTAATGTTAAAGTTAGATCGTATTGCTGTAATTTGTCTTTTTAAATGAGGGTAAGTATAGAAAACCTTTTGTAACCAGTTACTATGCTACAGCGCAAGTATGAATTACTGGAGTATAGGTGATCTTTCATACTTACTTGATATAAAGAAAATAGAGAATGTTTAATTTTACCTTTGCTCAAGAGTTTCTGGTGACATCAAAATACTCTTTTTAATATAACTAGGATAAAACTACTAAAGAGAAAAGAAGACATTATTTAAAAAGTCTATGAAGCATTTCTTCTAAACTTCAGTGGTGTAATTATCACAGATACAAAATACATACTAGTTCTCATTTAAAAGTATTTGCCATTTGAGGCTTTAGAACTAAGAGTGTAGTGTTAAAGATACTTTCTTAGTTTTTTTCAGTTATTAAATGGTGTAGAGTGAATGATTACTAAAATGGAAACAATTCTTAATAAAATTACATACAGATTTCAAAAGTGAGCATCTTCATTTTAACATGGAATGTTGTTTTAAACACTTCTCATTCTATGTTCACCTTATAACTTTAGAGACTGATATTCTCAAATTATTCTTTTGTGGGGGGAAAAAAACCCTTCTGTTTGTTTTTTATAAATAGGATGCAGGACAAAAAAGATTTGGAGCAGTTTCCTGTAATGTTTGTGGCATGCTTTACACAGCTTCAAATCCAGAGGATGAAACACAGCATCTGCTCTTCCACAATCAATTTATAAGTGCTGTAAAATACGTGGTAAGTAGAATTCATGACTTCTAAAATGCAGAATCAGATCATTAGAGATGAATTGTCAGATTCGAGTCATTGAAAAAAATTTGTCTTTAGAAAATAGCACCATATACAAAGCCCCTGTAGTATATATACAGGCTTATTTTAAAACAAAACCAAACGTAAAACCCAGCAAATTTGTTCTGGCTGGTGTATGTTGTGGGATTTTTAAATTTTTAAATTTAACTTAATTTTCAAATTGTTATATTTTTAGAGTGTTATTGTACCTCTTCTAACAAGTGATGCTCTTCAACTTGAGTATTTTTTTAAATTTCCTTTGATTTTAATTGTTAACTATTGATAAGTCTGTTTAGTATTCAGAATAGCTTGACACAGCTTTTTTGGTGGAATTGATAGTGGTATATATTATACCAAATAGATTGTGTGGGGATTTCCTTTACCTTCTCTTTGCTAACATAAGAGTTTTTCTTATTAAAGAACAATTCCTGATGGTTAAAACCTCAGACTTTGTAGTATACTTAAAAAAAAAAATCCCACAAAGTAAATATGTTTTAGTATATATATTTTAATGTATGTGCAGTTGAGGCATAATGGGTATTATTTAATATTTGGTTTTGGAAGTAGCAAAATTTTAAATAATTTTGAACCATTTCAGATATCTTGTGAAAATAGTAATTTAATGTAATTGCTGTTTACCCGTATCTGAAATGGAATTTATTTTATACATGTTACCTTCAGTACTGTACACTCACATTAATAAGACCTCCAGGATATCTGAACTGAGATCACCAATTCATTTCATATAGGCACTAGATTTTAAAGATTTTTATTGGCTTCAGTTAAATTTGTATCCTTATCTTTGGTTGAAGAATTCATATTTGTGGTTTTATTTATTCAATTACTTCTTCCCAGGATAGGTGGGGTTTTCCTTTTTTGGTTTCCTGCTGTGGTAATCCTTTATATTCCTTATTTCATCTGCTTTTCCCCACACACACCCTTCTCCCACTTAACTAAATAAAATATAAGGTATATGGATATAGAATATCTGTAGCTAGATATTTATTTGTCATTTGAAATTTGTCCTTTTCCAGTTTGACTCTGTTAATATCCTTACAACTTGAAAAGAAAAATAGGCCTATCAAGTAGCTAAATTATGGAATACTTCTGGGGCAGAAATATTTATTTTACATCCATCAATCTGGTAGAATTGTATTCTGCTCAAGTTACATTATTTGATTCTTGCAGCCAGTTTCCAAAAATTATAAAGAAATTTGGTTTAAAAGACTTAATTCTTTATTTTAAGAGAAGTTCTTAATTTCTGAGACCAACTGTAAGGAAATCAACCAGGAGATAATGTACTCTGCTCTTCCACAACACCAAAGGAAATTAGTTTATGGAACAAGGTGGAGGCATCACTTCTTAACAAATCCTGGCTCTTGCAAGTCCGTAAAGCAGCAGAACAACTTAAGGGAGACTGATTCCTGCCCCACCCCCCGCCCCCTTCTTGATGGGACAGAGCTACAGGTTATTTTATTTACTTTTGAAATAAACTCAAGAGAAGGAATTGAGTTTAGCAGTTGGCCATCTTTGCTAACATCAAAGTTAGCGTTCTTACTTTTTGTTTTTTCAAACATAGATCTACATAGATGGTAAGGTAGAGAACTTTGTAGCATTCTTTTCTAGTGTATGGAGAGGATAAAAAAGCACACCCATATTAAAGATGTTCTGCTGTGATCACAGCTCTGGATTCTGGGTTATCACTTATGTGAATCTTTCATTGGGCACCTAGTGTTGTGCTTTTGCATTAAGTACTCGTAAGTGTTTGATGAAGCATCTAAATTTTTTAAATGCCAGTTTATCTGTCATGTCCGTTTCTTGGAGAGAAGCACATAGAACTAAGAAGTCATTTTGTGCTGTGGCTTTTGTTTATATTTTTAATTTTAAATGGGCAGTGTTCAGGGATTAGGAATAAAGTTCTGTACTGCTTAATATAGAATTAATTCTGTACTGCTTAAAATAGAATAAATTAGAATAAGTTTTACTTCTTTTATTTTAATCAAACACTGCTGACAACATAAGCAGTTTTTCTTTTTTTTTTCTTTTTTAATTTAAATTATTTATTTATTTTACTTTACAACGTTGTATTGGTTTTGCCATACATTGGCTTGAATCCGCCATGGGTGTACATGTGTTCCCCATCCTGAACCCCCCTCCCAACTCCCTCCCCATCCCATCCCTCTGGGTCATCCCAGAGCAGTTTTTCTTTACAGTAGAAATTTTTTCTTATAATTAGTTCATGATGATAATCTATGACAGGTAAAAATGTCTGAAGTCTTCTTTTCAAAAGATTAAAATAATACATAAGTTATGTAGTCATAGTAGAAATTGATGCCACAGAACCTACTTTTGGTTTACTAAAATACTTTATCCTTTATGTATTCTCTTTGACTTGGGGTAGGGGAGAGGAATGACAGTGCTCTCTTTGTGTATTCCTTCATTGTACTCCATCTGCCTCATTGACCCCATTTGAGAAAATGTATTTTACGTGGCCTACTCGAAACTATTTAGGAAGGAGCCTCTTAAAGCTTCCTAGGGATTCTGGATTCTGGTTTAGACCTAGCTTCCCTTCAGTTTCCCTTCATGAAGTGTTTTCCTAAAGGTGTGAGGAGAAAACAGGAAAAACTCCCCCAAGAGCATTCAGCCTTGTTGCCAAGCAAGGAACTATCCAGAATTCAGCTGTATTATAAACTTTCAGTAATGCAGAAGAGGAATAATGTTTGGGTTCTTTGCAGAAAAACTCCTGACTTAATCCTTCTTTACCTCTGTCTTTCCCTTACCCTCCTTTGAATTGATTATCTCACTGAATGTGTTGTGGAGGACCTTACATTCAGGGTACTGGATATGCCCTTGGCCTGCAAATTTAGGAACAAAGCCTGAAAGAAGTGAAAAGTTAACAATAAAAGATTTAAACAGCTATTGAAGCAATAAGTCAATATTAATTGTTTAAATTATAAATTAACTTTTCAGTTTAGAAATGATAATTACTTTGGTAGAGCTGTGATCAGAAGATGGGTTGTTTTTCCTGTCTTGGTGCCCAGAGATGCTTTGAAGAAAGGTTGGACCAATCCCTAGTTGGCTGTATAGCTGCACTATCCAGTTTGGTGACACCAAACCTCCAAACATGAGAAATGCAGGTCCTCATTCACACTAGCCAGTGCTCTCTTGTCACATGTTACTAGGTGCTCTGTGTCACTATGGAGGTAGAATATTTGAATTGTCATAAGGAGTTCAGTTAGTGCTGCTACAAGTAGATTTATCAAAACAAATAGCTTTAGTGGAAGAGTAAGGGTTCTAGCCTCTGTTCAGTTCAAATACTGCAGAGAATGAGAGAAGTACCCTGGAGGAGATCCTGCCATCATAGCACACCTACAAAATGAAAAGTCTTTAAAGCATCTTTAGAATTGAATCTGATTTTTCTAAAGTAAAACTTAAATTCTTGTGTATATTCTTTTATTCCTGACTTACTCGATGAGTGAAAAAACCACTATGTCACAGAACTTTTGTGTTTCTGAATACCTTCTTTTAAACTGTGAATGATTAACTTAAACAGGTTGGCTTGCTTTTAGTGGTTAAGTCAATTCAAAATGGGAAACCATGAATCTTGAAATACTCTAGTGATAATAAATATAGCTAACAGATATGAAGGTTAGCTTCAGAAAGTGCTGTGCTTAATTATGCTTTAATAGACCAATTATATCATTCATGTCTTGTTAGCTGAACCTAAGTGAAAGTCACTCAGTCGTCTTTGTGACCCCATTGACTAGAGTCACTTGGAATTCTTCAGGCCAGAATACTGTAGTGGGTAGCCTTTCCCTTCTCCAGGGGATCTTCCCAATCCAGGGATCGAACCCACGTCTCCCACATTGTAGGTGGATTCTTTACCACAAATTAACATATATAAGATTTAATTATTTTAACTTCAGCAGTTATTTGTGTGTACAATTAAATTTAGTTCAGAAATAAATTGACCTCAGTCACTTTGAAACTAAAGTTGTCTCAGATAATCAGCTTCAGTGCTTATGATACTGTGATTTATGAGGAAGATATTTATTTAGTTGCTGACTCACAGCTCCCAAAACCTTTGAAATTTCCTAAGAGATGGGATACAATGTGTTTTGTTATGTTAATGAGATGACCTTTGGAACTAGCTAAGGTTGGGAGCCAACTACTGAGGGTTGGAACTTTCAGTTCTCACACAGTGATCCTAAGAGGGAATAGGCACTGGAGATTGAATTCTGTTACCAGTTGTCAATGATTTAATCAGTCCCACCTCTGGTGAAACCTTCAAAAAGCCAGGACAGGGTTCAGAGAGCTTTTGGGTTGGTGAACACATAGAGATTTGGAAAGGTGGTATGCCTGGAGAGAGCATGGAAACATGTCTTTAACAGTATTGTTGTTAATACAAAATTATCTTTGCAAAGTAACCAAATGAGAAATTAAAACCTTCTGCTTGGGGGTAGTTAAGGTATATTAATACTTTTATTATACCATATTATTAAAGTAGAAAAAAACAGGAAATACAGATAAGCTGAAAGGAAAAAATTAAATCACATAAATAACCTCAATTTATAATTTGGTATACAGTCTTACTGACTTAAAATATTCATAAGTACATGTTTGCTTTTAAAAATCATTTCAACAGAAATATTTTTACGTATTTCAAGAGTTTGTAATTTGTTTCTCTTATGCAGTTTTTCTGCAGTTTTTTATGCTGTGTGCCATGGGTACTGTCAAAAAGAGCATGTGACTGAATTTCGAATGAGCTTATTTTAATTTACTTTTGTTTCTATAAAGATTTAGCATTTTTTAAAATTGGTATTTAGAGTATGTTTATTTAAACAAATAACAACTGTTAGTCTTGCTGTTGAACTAAAATGTCTGTTTTTCAAATTGCTTTAGTAATTTAAATAAAATTTTAATTGAAATACAACTTGTAAAGAGAAGTACACAAATAATGAACAAGTGCACAGCTTAATGGTGTGTTTTTGCAAAGTGAACACCCACATGACAAACACCACTAGTATCTCAGAAGCCCCTTTGGGCCCCCACTGCAGTCAATGCTTGTCTCACCCTCAGGTCTAATCACTGCCAACTGGATTCATTTTACATTCATTTTTCACTTCTGAGTAAATGGTATTTGTGTAAGCCTTGGACCTTTGGCACAGTTTTGACAATTGGGTGATTTGAATTTTCCAAAATAGAGTTCAATCCCCATTCCCCCCACTACCACCAAATAGCGAATCCCCATATATTTTTCACTCAGCTTCAGCATAGCAATAAACAAAATTTTAAGTGTATAATCACACCTTTAAATTTTAATTCCTTAATATCAATATCCTTAATATCCTTAATATCAGCTATTCCCTCAATATTAATATCCTTAATATCGGCTATTCCCTCAATATTAATATCCTTAATATCAGCTATTCCCTCAATACTAATATCCTTAATATCAGCTATTCCCTCAATATTAATATCCTTAATATCAGCTATTCCCTCAATATTAATATCCTTAATATCAGCTATTCCCTCAATATTAATATCCTAATATCAGCTATTCCCTCAGGGGTCAGAATCTCCCCAAATATCTCATAATTTTCTATACTGTTTGAATTAAGGTCCATATATTGCACTGGTTAGTATGTCTCTTAAATCTCTTTTAATCTAAAGATTCTCCCTCTAGGTTTTTTTCCCTTGCCATATTTGTTGATAGTCCTTTTGAAAAGCTAGTTATTGATTTTATTTCTCAGAGGATTCTTTCATGAATATTTCCATTCAACCTTTAATGGAAGTGATTAGTAGGAACTTTTACAGTTGGATATAATTTTAACACACAAATCTTAAATGTTTGATTGATGAATTTTGACAATTGTATACACATCAATATATCTACCACCCAGTGTATTTTGTTTTCAATTGTAATCTTGTTCAAATAGAAAAAGAGGAAAACCCCTTCCATTCTTGAGACTCTATATATAAAGTCTAGAATAACTAGAACAGCAAGGGACAAAAAAAAAAAAAAGATCATTGATTGTTATTAGCAGTGTAAAGGTTTCTGCTTTTCAGCAACCAGATAGGTGAATTAAGAATGGGATTTGGAAAATACTACTTGCTAGCAGAGGGCTGTGTGTAACATCTTACAGCTAAAGGTGAAAGGTGTAAAGGCACTGCATTGAAATTTATATCTTTGGAGAAAGCTGTGGCTATTTGGTTATTCCTCTAAATCACATTTATCCTTCAGCAAACAGCCTCTGCCTCAGTTTCAAGCAGCAGACTTCATCTCCTCTAAATTCTCTAAAGATAGGAGGATCATGTGGTTATTGACTCCAGGAAAGAGTTAACTGCAATTGAGGTGTATAAATGTCTTTAGTATCTTATTTGACAGTTTTTAGCAACATTGGGTCTTTCATCTTTGCCTTGTCCAAGGTTTGAACTTCTTTTTACATGTAACTTTGGGGGCTTTATTAATTGTGTTTTCTTAAAGTAGTACATTGACTGTAGTTTGACATCACTAGGAAGGTAGAGTGGAAGTTACTAAGAGTTCCTGAGTAGCCCCTCTGTGAGAGGAATCATCTTAAAGCAGTTCTCTAAACTACTAAGTGAGGTGGGTGATGACAGCTATTTTATCCATAGACTAGGTCAGGAAACAGAATGGATTGCAGTGATTTGCCTGAGATTATATTGCTAATAACTACCAAGAAATGGGGTTTAAACCCTGAACTTTTAATCCAGAACTCGAAGTTTTCTCTTAAATATGCTGTCTTCATGGGTATTAGAAACTTAAGCAGTAATAATTCTGCCCTTTGCAGTTCCTCCTGCTTATACACTTACATGAAAAAACTATCACGTTTAAAACATTTTAAAAAATTGTATCAAATCGAATTGTGAAACATTTTCTGCATGAACATGCAAGTGTCAAGTTGTTTCAAGAGAAAATTTTGCCCAAAAAAGTCAATAAAGCAAAATAATTTATATAGTGCCAAATATATAAAGCAAAATAATTTATCTAGTGCCGATGGTGCAGTATAATGTTGGCCAGTATTGTTATTTTTAAAGACAACAGGAAAGTAACTTGTCAAATTATTTTTAGATAATTCAGCTCAGGAAACTATGACTTTGTTGTAAGTTGGAGTTAGTTCAATTCTAGCTCTTCATTGAAATTGTAGCTTAGCTTTTAAAATGAAAAGTTTCTATTTTCATTTTATGCAAAATAGGTTTATTTTAAAAGCTTTTCCCAAAATAACATTAATGTAAATTTGTTTTTTAAAGAGGATGATATCTCTTATGCCTTTTAAAAACATTTACCTATATTCAGGTCTGGATATGATTCAAATTTTGTTTCTGATTTGAAAAAAATGACTTCTGTGACTATTGTTTCTACTCCTTTTTTCTTTTCAAATTTTGGGAACACATGACCATCCTAATTATGATCATCTGAATTTGCTTTACTTTTGGGAGCTCTATTTTTTAAACAAATTCTGGTTTTAAATACTTCAAATAGTTGTTTATACCAAGTTTGTTGCTAGACTTTTTGTCCACAACTAAGAAACCACCCTTTCCCAAAAGACCATTGTGGATCATTTAAGAAAATCAATCTCCTTTCAGACCTGCTATAGTGTTTTTTAAAAATATAGTTGCCTTTTTCTTGGTTTCACTGAGCTTTAATACTCTGAAACAAATCTCAGAAAGATGCTGGTTTTCTTTAAGATAAATACATTGCTTCTTGAAAAACCTTTTTATTTAAAGTTGGTTGGGTAAGACAAATGGAACAACCAGTTAAGCTCATTCCTTCTGTACTTATTTTTAACCTCAAAGCTCCTAGTTTTAACCTCTGGTTCAGTCCCATCTTACTAGATTTAAGTGGCTTTTGTTTTGTTTTTTTTTTCATGCAGGTTCTGCTCATTAATCACCACGAGTGTGGATCTGAAGAAGAGTTTATTACCTCTCTTTTTTTGAGTATGTTTAACTTCAGATACACACAACGTAGCCTCTCCTTCCCTATTAGATTCTTAGAAGGTAGTTATATTTTTATAGTATCCTTCTTGTGACTTTTGATAGTTGTGATCAATAAGAATAAAAACTATTCCTTACATATTGGGCTCCTGCATGCAAATCAGTTCATTTACAACCTCCTGGAGGTCTTTGGCATGCCAGACATAAAACCATGAGTGTTTGTTTGTGGAGGTAACCATGTTCCAGAGAGATTTAAGACTTTAATTCTCTTATCAAGAAACTGGGAGAGTTATCCTTTAGGTTCTGGGAGTCACTGACTTTAAGGGGCTTGCTTTTGCTGTGTGATTTTCAAAATTAATTTAAAATGGAAAATGATAAATTAGACATGCTTTTGTGGTCTTAGATCACTGAATGAATAGTAGAGAGAAATTAGCTTACATTGTACCTGTGTGTGCTTAACAAATAGCTGATTTATCATGTCTTTTTAAACATTAACGAGCATATATACTTTTCCATGTTTGTAATTTTTAGACACATTGATGTATTTTTCTTATTGTACATGAATATGATGTATGAAATATGGTAAATAAATTTCTTCTTTTTTTTTTTTATATGTATCTAGGGTTGGAAAAAAGAAAGAATTCTAGCTGAATATCCTGATGGCAGGATAATAATGGTTCTTCCTGAAGATCCAAAATATGCCCTGAAAAAGGTAAATTTCCAGTGAAATTTCACACAGAATGAATAATTTGCAGCTGATTTTAAGAGTATAATGTATTACTGGCAGCACATTTAAACACCCCATTCTGAGAACAAGAAATAAGCATTTAGTCACACCTGACTGAAAAATTAATGCTTTAACTTTGTAGTTTGTCATTTGTTGTTCATTTTCTAAGTTGTGTCTGACTCCTTGCAACCCTATGGACTGCAGCAAACTAGACTTCCTGGTATTTCACTATCTCTCGGAGTTTGCTCAAACTCAGTCTCCATTGAGTGAGTGATGCCATTCAACCATTTCATCCTCTGTCCCTGTCTTCTCCTTCTCTCAATCCTTCCCAGTATCAGGGTCTTTTCCAATGAGTTGACTCTTCGTATCAGATGGCCAAAGTACTGGAGCTTCAGCATCCGTCCTTCCAATGAATATTCAGGGCTTATTTCCTTTAGGATTGACTGGTTTGATTTCCTTGCTGTCCAAGGGAGTCTTCAAGATTCTTCACCACCACCACCACAGTTCGAAAGCATCAATTCTTTGGCGTTCTTTATGGCCCAATTCTCACACCCTCACATGACTACTGTCTAGCATATGTGAAATGAATTTTTAGTGGAGTGATTACTGTCTCATATTATCAGTAATTTGAGTGATGATATAGAAGGCATAGTAAATGCCACATAAGTAATTTCAAGAATCAAAATTAAAATACAAATCTGAATCATAATTTATAAAATTGAAACTAATAGATGTCATTTTATTCTGAGAGTAAATTTCTAATATCCTTGTTCTTAGTAAACTACAGTTCAGTATGTTACTGGTTAGTAACCCATAATAGGTTAAAAATTAAAATCCAAAGAATTGTGAGTCATTTGCCTTTAGGAACTGAGTCAGGTGTTGCATCGTGGGATATTTTTCTAGGATTAAGAGGACTTGGGTTTTCATCCCTGAATAAGGAATGTGTTACATGGTATTATGCAATTCAGAAGTGTGAATATTTAACCCCCTTAGGTGTCATTTGCATCTTAAAGTTAGTGTCACAGATGAATGTTTATTGGACTGAATATTTGCAGATTTTTTTTTTTAACTGGCAAAGGAACTGATGTTTGAGTGCCTGTAAAAATCTTGACTTTGAATACCTACAAAAGTTTGAGCTTATCGTATGTGACCTTGACTAGGAGGTAAAGTGGTAGAAGCAGTTTGATGCTATGTTAGCATTATGGGTTCAAATCCCAGAAAACCCAGCTCTTTGGTTCCCAGTGTCCCATATCTGACGTGGGAAAGTTATTTAACCTCTGAATTTTATTTCTTCCATATGCAAAGTGAGAAACTATCAGCCTGTAAGAGGTGTGGATTTAAATTAGATAGTATTCATAAAGTGCTTTGCATAATATCTGACCCTATAAACTTTTGATAAGGAGTAAACATTAATGCCTTTTCTCTGCGCTCACTTCCAGTCCACTGATGAGAGTACTAATTAAGGCTTGCGAAGAACAATGTGGCCTGCCTGGCTAAGGTTCCAGTGAAGTTCTCTCCAGTGCTCCATTCCGTGATACTTACTTACACTGGGAAGCCTTAGTGTCCTTATTACCTATCAGAGGAGCTCTCACTCTTGTTCCCAGATTGCTGGGCTTGATATTACTCTCCATTCTTTCTTCCTTTTGTAGATTGGTCCACAGAGCTTGAAAAACATTTAGTGATCAGGATAGTCATTCAGAAGCACTCTTCAGAGGATGTTCTGCTTGGAATAATATGCTCAATTTATTGACCTGAAATAACATATTTTTACATATATAAAATGCTTTTGTTTAAAAAGTAATGATTTTTCTTTATTTGGCAGGTTGACGAGATTAGAGAGATGGTTGATAATGATTTAGGTTTCCAGCAGGCTCCACTCATGTGCTATTCCAGAACAAAAACACTTCTCTTTATTTCTAATGACAAAAAGGTAGTTGGTTGTCTAATTGCAGAACATATCCAGTGGGTAAGTGATTTTTAAAGAATGGTCGTATGTAGTTTGGTGTTTAAAGAGTTACAGCAATAACATCATCCTGGTAAATTTTTCAGCATTCTGCGTAAGGGAGAGTATGAATGCGAGAACTCCTGTGCATAATTTTTTTTACTACAGTGAAGTTGTCTTGCATGGGAATTCATTTAAGTCAGTAAATATAAGATAAAAATTCTACAAATCAAAAGTACTATTAAATTTTGTTTAGGAAGTTTCCTTGTTGGCTACTAATGAAATGTCTGTCTCAGTCCCCTTCAGCACTGAAGTAAATCAAGGGTTGCCAGATGATAGTCCAGAAGGCAAATTCTAGCCTGTTTTTTACAACATTTATTGTAACATTGCTATGTCCATTTGCTTAAATGTTGCAAGAGGCCAGTTATGCTACACAGCCTGAAATACTTATTTCCTGGCCCTTCATGAAAAATTGCCCACCCCTGCATCAGGTCACCACTTCTTTGGGTGAACTCTAATGAGGACTTGGCTTGTATTTAAGAGCCAAATGTAAACAAATAATAGAATTATAGTAGAAGTGGTATGTTCATATTGTAAGATGGTCCCAAGTTAGACCAATTTAAGAAAACAGAAGATTCTGAACTTCCTAATCATGCTCACCTTGAGGTAGACCTCCTGTGAATTCTGTCTTCTTTTCAGCTGAGTTCTTGCTCATGAATTCAGTGTGCATTGGATTTGACTTTTTGTTTAGTTGATGTCTTTTAGTGTATTAATAGTTGCCTGCAAGTATATATGCTTCATCATAAAATTTCCTAATAAGGTGCAAAGTTGAAACAAATATGTGTGATTAATGTCTGTATGTTAAGCTACATAAAAAATTCAATCTGAAAAAAAGTTCAACCTGAAATTGTGTAAGTTTATGAATTTTGCTATTTGTAATCACAAATTTGATTTAAATAAATAGCTGACAAGGTAGTTTGGAGATATAAATTTGATATAAAAGGACTAACTCATGGAAGCTTGCCATTCTGTAACTGAGTTAATTTTGTGTAGTGCACATCTTGTGGCTTCATTTTTTCATTGCCCCAAATTTATTCTTTATCATTTATCCACTTTTATAGGTCTCTGAGTCTTAATTGTCCCACATTTAAGAGATATCAGCAGTGTTGTGCTTGATATTTTTACCAATATGTCAAAGTGCTTTCTGTGTGTATTGAATAACTGTGTTATGTGTTTGAGGATTGTCCTTAGCAACTCATCCCCCTTAATTCCAATCCAGCTAGCATGATATATGACTCCTGAGGAGGGTTAATAGTAAGGTACCCACTTGAAGGAAGTATCACTTTTTATGTGGGACATAACTTCAGACAGAATTGATCATTGAAACAAATGAAGTTAATTAGATGAGGGGAAAAAGATACTTGAAGTCAGATTTTCACAGAGTGACAAGGATATTTGCAAATTTTATATAGAGTATTCTTAAATTTGGAAAATGACTAAGCATTCAGAAAAAAATTGCAGACATCTATCTTGTTTTTTGACTGTTTCTTGCAGTGTTTTTTTTTGTTTGTTTGATTGTTTATAGTGAATGTTCTTTGGTAAACTCGTGTGTTGCGGGGTTTTTTGGCCCTGCCGAGTGGCTTCTGGGATCTCAGTTCTCTGACTAGGGATTGAATCTGGGCCATGGGAGTGAAAGCACTGAGCCCTAACCACTAGACTACCAGGGACCTCTGCACCCTTGTGTTTTTTTAAATTTCTACCTATTCCAAAAATGACTTGTTGCAGTGTTTAGATTAGAATATAGCCATGCGATACTTGCTTGTTTATTCTTTGTTAACTCTCAGTTGTGTTGTCTAATTGTTTTAACTTTTGTACCTCATTCTGTCAAAAGGCTGGTGGTGTCCCTTTTTTGGCCACTAGACTGGCAGAAGAGATGTATGTTTTTCAAAGTACTTTTTTTTTTTTTTTAAGAGATAGGAGTGTAGGGAAAGGATTTTCCTAAACTTTTGATTCCTCTGCCATCCTGAGTCCCAGTTCTGCACAGCTGTGAACCCTATAATGATGATAGCTATCACAGAAACAGCTGTGACTGCTGAGTTCTCCACATATACTTTCGCTGGTCCTAGAACATGGGAGGAGAAGGCAGTGGCACCCCACTCCAGTACTCTTGCCTGGAAAATCCCATGGACGGAGGAGCCTGGTAGGCTGCAGTCCATCGGGTCGCTACAAGTTGGACATGACAGAGCGACTTCACTTTCACTTTTCACTTTCACACATTGGAGAAGGAAATGGCGACCCACTTCAGTGTTCTTGCCTGGAGAATCCCAGGGACGGGGGGAGCCTGGTGGGCTGCCGTCTATGGGGTCGCACAGAGTTGGACACGACTGAAGCGACTTAGCAGCAGTAGCAGCAGAACATGAGAGGTGGAGAAAATTAACATTCACTTCCTATTATGTGCCAGCCGTGGTGGCCAGGTGCTTTGTATTTCCTTATTTAATCTCTCAGCAAGTCTCTGAAAGAGGTGGCAGAGAGTTCCAGTTTATAGATAAGGAACCCAAAGCTAAATTAAGTAACTTCATCTCATGGTCACATAACTAATAAGTGAGTTAGAACAGAATGTAGATCCAGGTCTGTTTATTTCCAAAAATGAGAGCAAAAGCCTAAGTTTGTAGGAACTAAGTTCCTACAGTTTGTTAAGAAGCCAGATGGACGTAGTGATGACCTCATGAAAGGTCAGCATGAGACAATAGCTTAATAATCGTCTCACTTTATAAACACCCTGTCCCGCCTGTCCCCCAAGAATGTCTCTGTGTATAACGGACTCACTTTGCTGTATAGTAGAGCGTAGCACAACATTGTAAATCAGCTATACTTCAATTTAAAAAAATCACCTATGTATTTCCCCTTAATTTTACTGCCTATAGGGCTACAGAGTCATAGAAGAAAAACTTCCAGTTATCAGGTCAGAAGAAGAAAAGGTCAGATTTGAACGGCAAAAAGCCTGGTGCTGCTCAACATTGCCAGAGCCTGCAATCTGTGGGATCAGCCGCATATGGGTGTTCAGCATGATGCGTCGGAAGAAAATCGCTTCTCGCATGATTGAATGCCTAAGGTAACTTGGATGTAATCCTTCAAGTCATTATCAGTAGTTTAGCATTTAAGCAGAGTTTTATATAAAGATTGATGTTTAGTTCATTGTAAATGTATAACCTTTATTTATATTAATTTAAAATTTGCATAAGATTGTCAGTATGTAAGAAGTATGGGAAATTTCTTGGGAGTTTAGCTTTTAGGAAAAATTTGTCTTAATTTAAGAGTAGTATTTGTAAATAATCTAAGTCTCTCAGTAGTTTTTCTTGATTTTATTCCTCTTTTTTCTTTTTTTTTTAAAGTATGAAATTATGATAACACATTTATAGGAGGTTTGGAAAATACAAAACAAGGTTACATATATATTGCTTGATTTTTAATCAAAGGGATAGAGAAGATTCTGAAAATTACGTTTGTTTTTTTCTCTCTTGCATTTGCATATGAATTTTAGGACCAGCTTGTTAATTTTTGCAGAAAAACTCAACTATAGATCAATTTGAGGAATAATGCCATTTTAGCAATATTAAGTCATCTGATTCATAATCATGGGATGTCTTTCTGTTTTTTAAGGTCTCCTTTAATTTCTTTCAACAATGCTCTATAGTTCTCATTTTTTAGGTCTTGCATGTCTTTGTTAGATTTAATCCTAAGTATTTACTTAGGTTACTGAGTATTTACTATGTATTTCAGTGTTGTTTTCTAAATTTCATTTTGAATTGGTCATAGAAGTAAAATTAATTTTTTAATATTTTATAATTTGCAAACTTGCTGAACTCATGTTTTTTGTTTTTTTTTTAACTCATGTTTTATTAGGCCTATTATTTTGTGAATTCCTTAGAATTTTTGTATATAAAAGATCGTGTCATCTGTGAAAAGATAATTTTAACTTCTTCCTTTCCAACTTGGTTGCTTTTCATTTCTTTTGCTTGTCTAATTGTCCTTGATAATAGAAGAGGTATGAGCAGATGTGGCCTTACCCTGTTCCTGATCTCTGAGGAAGTTTTCAGTCTTTTTTTTTTAACTATTAACTTTGATGTCTTTTGATGCTCTTTATCAGGGTTGAGGAAGTTCCTTCTATTCAGAGTATTTTTATCATGAAAAGGTGTTGGGTAAATGTTTTTATAACCATTGTTGCTTTTACAAAACAGTTATTTTTCAGTTTCTAGAATATACAACATTATTTGACAGGTTTTTCCACTTTTAATGATTAAAAATAAATTAATTTTCTTTTTTTACCTTCCACACCCCCCCCCCTTTTTTTTTTAAACAGGAGTAACTTTATATATGGCTCATACTTGAGTAAAGAGGAAATTGCTTTCTCAGACCCTACTCCTGATGGAAAACTGTTTGCAACACAGTACTGTGGCACTGGTCAGTTTCTGGTATATAATTTTATTAATGGACAAAATAGTACCTAAAATAAACTCATGCCTACAGTATCAGAAGACATCTACTGATGAGAATGGATTGGTTGTTGACTTAAACCAGGAACTAGGGCCATTTTTATTACAATGAACTCAGGACTGGCAACAACCATAAGGTTGTTCCATTTTCATAAAATTGGGGGAAAAAATGAAGTAATTGCTTATTGTTGTTTTGTTTTTTTAAAGAAGATATTTTATTATCTTTTACAGAAATTTATGATTGATGTATTTTATCTATAGTTATTTAGACATGTTTACATGCAGCAGATAATTGTTCATAGTGGACTGAAAACTAATGCAAGGACTATGGTCTCAGTGATAAGTATATTTTGAAGTTCTTAATTGTGGCAATATACCAGTGTAGCTTGGTACTGTATTTTTTTTATACTGATCTGCTGATACCAGTTATAGTTTTAAAGATTGTATTATCAGAGTGGAAACCAGTGTTTTTACATTATTATTCAAGAAGGGTGTGATGTTATGTGTTTAGGAATCAAAACTAATTCTTAAAGGGTCTGATACCTACTTTAAAGGAATCATCACAAAAAAAGCAAAGCTCCATTAGCAAGAGAGAATTTGAAATACTGAGTTTTTTCTTCTATTTCTCTTTTTCTGCTTCTTGCTGCCAATCAAGAAGCAGAAGGTGGAAAAGAATTAAAGCTTTCCTTCTTGGAGAACTATGAATGACTCGAGTTAGAATGGTGCCCTTTATTTATTTTTTCATTCTGGTTTCACTTTTTAAAATAAACGTCAACTTGGCACACTTTGGCTATTAACAATCCCAAAGAGGTTTATAAAAACCTGTGGAATAGTTGCAAGCTAAATATGTATGACTTGGTATCTGCTTTGTTACTCCTCAGAAATACTACACTGGGTATATGCCCTTATATTGGACTTCATTTTGATACTTGTCTATCCTTCATAGTGCCCTCTACTTTTAAAGGGTTTATATGTTGAAAAACTGCTGTGGCCTTTTATGACTTGTATATAATGTAGAATAAAATAATAAAATACTTGATAGCTTTTTCTAAGTGATAAATGTGATAATGGTATGTTGTTATTGTGCTTTTTCAGGAAGTCTGTTAGGTTTGATACCTTGAAATAAGATTAAAACAGTGGCTTTTGAAAAGGTAGTTTTCACCAGTTTGCTGCAGAATCTGTATGTCAGTAACATCTCCAAAAGACAAGATCCTAACATGGGATTTTTCTGGTCTTTCAAAGAAATAAAGAGCCATCACCCAAGTATGAAGCACCGCTATGATTTAATACAGGTGAAGGTTATGAGCTGACATTAAAACCAGCTAAAAATTAAGACTTTTAAATTAAGATTACAGGTGTGTGTGCGTGTGTGTGTGTGTACACACACATTATCAGCCATAGATGTGTGCTTTTAAAATTATTCGAGTGGTGTAAGGCTCTGTACCTGTCAGTAGGGTGGAATGGTAAGGCAGTGTGACTATTTCTTCTCATTCATCATGATGATCCAACTCTTGACACTGCTTTTCTTTTTGGTCTTGAGACTCTTCTAGTCATCCCTGGTCTCAATGTTTGCCTGACAGGGAACCAATGATTTTTTAAAAACAGGATGAAAACTTCAGGTGTAGCATAGATGTCCTAGTAACTGTTAAACTCATAATACAGGCCCAGTTCCCATATAAGCAATAGGATTCTTTGGGGAGCTATACTTGGTGGGTTTCAAAGGGACTTGGAAGTAGACAGGCTGTATTTATTGGTAGGTTTAAAGATTGCCATTACTAGGAAGATTGTCTCTTTTGTGTTTATATTAAAGACACAGCCCCTCAAATAAATTTTATAATCTAGCTATTTCTCTAAGAATAGAATTATTAATAATATTTAACATTTGAGTGTTTGCCATGTGTCATACCTTGTGTTTGTGCTGTGCTTAATCTCTCAGTCGTGTCTGACTCTTTGTGACCCCATGGACTGTAGCCCACCAGGCTCCTCTGTCCATGGGATTCTCTAGGCAAGAATACTGGAGCGGGTTGCCATGCCCTCCTCCAGGGGATCTTCCAGTCCCGGGATCGAACCCAAGTCTCCCACATTGCAGGCAGATTCTTTACCATCTGAGCCACCAGGGAAGCCCAGGAATACTGGAGTGAGTAGCCTATCCCTTCTCCAGGGGATCTTCCCAACCCAGGGATCAAACCCGGGTCTCCTGCGCTGCAGGCAGATCCTGTACCAGCTGAGCTACCAGGGAAGCCCTAGTGATGCCTTATTTAATTATCATGACAGCCATATAGGTAGAGTTTACAGATGAGGAATATAGAATTTAGACGAGCTTATAGTAGCAGCTGCAGTGTTTGTGAAAGATTGCAAATTGAACTAAAGCTATGATGTGTGGGTGAAGACTAGACAGATGAACTTTGAGAAGTTAAAATTGAAGAATTGATGGAGTTGATAACTGACTGGAGAAAGATCATGACAGGAGAATCTGGGTAGTTTTGGTTCAGGTAGTGGAGTAGGTGGATTTTTGGCCAAGAAGGGCATACTGGAGAATTAGGTGGGAAGATTGGATGGGGAAGGATGAATTTGGTTCTGCTCACAGTTTGAAGGTGGTTGCTGAATCTCCAAGTGGAGATATCTATTTGGTGTATATAACTGAACATCTAGACCTACAGTTTGGGAAAAGTTTGAACTAAACCAATTTAGTTATTTGAAGATTTAGAGGAGATCTCCACCCTGGGGTTTATAAAATTAGAGGGGAGAAGAGACTGTTGAAGAACTTGTGAAAATGCACATGGAAGGGAAGAACCAGAAGAAAGTGGTAGAAACCAAGACTCAAAAGAACCGTCGATATTGTCACACCACAGCTGAAGACTGAAGAGCGATGACAGAAACAGAATCATGGTCTCTGTGGAGTTGTGGAGGTACCAGTGGATACAGTGAGTACACTAATGGCTACAAACATCAAAACAGATTGATTTTGTAATTGCTAATTATATAAAGGTGCCTATAAATGTTTTCTCAGCTACCCTTGAATAGTTGGTCTATTATAAGAATGTCTAGTATATTGACATTATAGGAATCACCAGTGTAGACAGATACCCTGCGATCTTATGCATTATGCTCATGTTTACGTGGACATACAGTGGTTTTATTACATTTTGTCAGTGTTATAAAAATCAGCATTTTATCAGTTTATAATGTTCAAGAGTGAACTTGATATATCTACTAAAACCATGACTATCATAAGAACAGTAAATACAGTAGACATACGGTGATATTTTAATTGTCACATACTTTGCATGGCTGCCCAGCTAGGGCATCTTGGTAGAAACACAGCCACATTCCTTCCTGGCTGTAGTTCACTGGCGGTTAAGGTGGTTAAATTGATTTCTGGGGTAGTGACTGCAGACACATATGCCTTCTACCTGTTCTTATGGCTCTTGGGCTTTCTAGCAGACCAAGGGAAGATTCTGTCTTAGAACAGCAAAGAATTGGTAAGAAAACTTAATTGTTGTTGCTTTTTCTCTCTTAACTATTCCTATCCCATTTGCTGTCATAATCACTGAAGTACAGTTGACACTTGAACAACGTGGGGGTTGGGGTGCTAACCCCACACGTGGTCCCGAATCAGGTATAACTTTACAGTCAGCTCTTTATATTAGCGCTTTGTGTCTGTAGATTCAGCCAACCACGGATTGGGTAGTACTGTAGCACGTTTTTTTTTTATTGTGTATAAGTACACCTATGAAGTTCAAACCTGTAGACTCTTTCCTCAGCTTAATACTTGACAGCTAAGACGTAAGGAATTTATAGTGTTTCCTTGGCCCCAGAGGTCCTTCCTGCATCTTTAGTGATGATTTTTTGTTTTTGTTTTTTCAGGGAAGCCAGGGTTTCATTGTTTTATCAATATTCTCTTAGACCCAGAGGGAGCTTATGACCCAGTTGCCATGACTGAAGACAAACCTGAGGAATGTTTGTTCTCTGGATATTGTTCAGCTCTACATAGTTGAATACAAAGGTACAGCAGTCAGTTTCACAGCTGTTAGTCTTTCCAAGGCAGCTCCATTGGAGTATGTAGTGGGACACTGGCAGTTTCCTACTTGCTCCTGAATCTGTCAGCATACTTAAAATAGTTACTGCCCCTCCTGAGGTAACAGCCAGGGACCTCTGACCCTAAAGAATGTTTTTACGGTTCTATATCAAAGGCTGTTATTTTAGCACTGTCAATATAATAGAACTGAAAGGCATTTTCCCCCCCTGGAATAATAAGTTAATTCTCCAAAGGTGGTGAAATTAGAATTTAGAAATAAAATGGAGAGTAACCTTAGGTTATACTACACAATTCTACTGTCTCAAAGTCTGCTGCTTGGGACATGGAAATGAATATAGTTGCCATCTATAAAATAAAAGATTGGGGATGTACCATGGATATTTCTGACATCTCTTTAATAATTTCTAGATCTGTTATTCATAATTATGTGGCACTCTGCAAGTGGGCATGGTGTGTAGATACTTTATATGTGTGTATCTTCTTTGGATAAGCTATAGATTTTCAGTCCACAAATACTTACTCAGCACTTTCTTGCACTGTTAAGCCAGAATAGACTCTTAAAAGAGTTATCCAACCTATGACATGTGGACTTGTGGCCTTTCTTGGACATTGTGAAGAGCCAGCTCATTCCATTTTTGAACATACCAGAAAATGTAAAGAAAACACACTTCCTTTTTAGGGGGTGGGGGAGAATTTAATACATTCACCAAATTAAATGAAAGGACAAGAACATACTGTCGACGCAACTTAAGACAATTTAGAATCATAAACAAAATGTGAGGTAGACTGACTAGTGAAATTAACCAAATTTTGGTTAAGAAACTTTACAGTAATAAAGTAACACAGGTGCCTCCTTTTCTAAAAATCACAAGAAGCAATTGCATAAATTACAGCCCAAAAAATTGAATATAGCAATTCTCATTGTAAGTTTACATTCAGTATTAACCTGTGTGAACCCTCACACATGGCAGGGTTT